GGCACTGGAACTCAAGTTTATGGTAAAATAATCTATGATTTTAAGCAAATTATCTTATAATCAATACGAATCAGAACATAATTTAAGAGAGATGACCTAAACAACTTGATCCTGAAAATCTCTGGTGCGTACAGCCGCTCAGTGTTATGTTCAAATACTCTGATTTGCATTATCCCTAAAGGTCACAATTTGATGAAAATTAAATTCGAGTACTGAGTATACTATTCAATACAGATTTTTTTTACTTATTGCATATTGCAATCAAACATTATTTTTCAAAAATCATGCATAATAAGTCAAAAAAAAACTGAATTAAATGTTGAGCCTATCGAGACTTGATGCTTTTGGCGTATTTCATAGTTGTAGATTTTACTTATGTTCTCTAAATCTAAGTTTCACTTCGAAAACATCATCTGAATATATTAAAAACAACATTTCTATTGGTAAATCGACAATCTCTATCGAATCGTGAAACTCTACTCAAATTTTGAATCGTCAGCACCTTACATAATAACATTTGCACGATTGAATAATAATAACTCTGTTGATGTACAATGCCTTTGTAGATGATCCAATAAATAAAGACTAATTAATTTCATATCTATAGATGGATCATCTAATGTCATTAAACAAACAGGAAATATTAAATCGAATGTTTCAGATAATGATGATTGATTCATTGATTTAATAATATGAACAAATAGTTTAATAGCAATAGGATATTTATCATATGTCGTCTTTAATAATAAAGGCTGTAGGCGATTAAGACAATGAAGATAAATAGGCTTTGTATGTTGTTGTAAAAGAAGAAATTCTTCTAAATTGTTTATTTGTAGAAACTTATATAGATGATTGAGAATCATTTGTGATTCAGATGAATATTGAATTATGTTTTGATTTGATGGCAAAAGATTTGATTTATAAACTTTCACAGTTGATGATGAAACTTGATGATAATCAATTTGAGTTGATGTTAATAAATTAAGATCAATTTCAAGTGAAATATGTTCGAGAAGAAAAAGTAATAATGAAGATAAATAATCAGTTGGAGATGTAAACAATTCATCATCTTGCACTGTTAACTCAGATAATTGATTGTTTAATTGAATAAAAATTGATTGATCAGGATATGTTACTGAATCAAATGTTTCTATTGATTTATTAAATAAACTTTGCGATGTTATCAAAGCATCAATATTTTGAAAAATTGAAATTGTATTATTCATGTTTATCTACAAGTTGAATAATGACTGATATTTAATTAAGATAGTAGCATGTGCCACGCACATTAGCAACTAAATGATTGATGTGAATAGATTCTCTTAGATTATGCTTACATGTAGATAATTTATAACAAGAATACTTCATTTGATTTCGCAACAAAATGAAAGTCTTGGTACAAAATATCTATTAATTTTTTTACCACTTTAAAAGCAAGAAGCAGAGTTTTTCTCTATTGTCAAATATATGTTCAAACTGTTTTAAAAACTTGTTTTAAAAATAAAAAAGTTTTGAAATCTGTTATGCAAATGTAAATGACACAAATTGTAGAGAAAAAATAAATCTAGAAAACTGATCAGAAAATCTCTTCAGTTGTCTGTGTCTGATTTTAATGGTAAAAAAGAATTTGAGAAATTTTTAGCAAGATCTCTTTGAAATATGAGACTTTCAAGATACAGACACTTTTCGTTGAANAGCTTTTTCTTCTCAATTTTCGACATAATTACAACGATGACAACTCGATTTTATTCATCAAAGTTACATGGACAGTTGATGATAGATAATGGATCATATAGATAATTAAGCGATAAATCTACAGTGTTTCCTAAAAACATGTTGATCCGTGTTGATAGAGTTCTCGTAGTAATGAATTTTACCAAGCTTGCTTTACTAGTTCCTTTATACTGCGATCATTAGATAGCTTGAGTTTCCAATAAGAACGACACGAAAGAAACTCGTTGCTATTAATTGTAAATATCTCGAGCAATAAGCCGTTGTGTAATTAATCTTAGAAATAATTAGTTATTTTTTATGGCATATCGATTTTTCTGATAATCAACATTCGCAACTTTGTATCGTATTTCTCAATCTAATGAAACACGAATGTCATCTAGTTTTATGATTAACGCATTGTGTATTTCATTAATAATAATATTTCAAAAAAAAAAATGAAATTACAAACAAAAAAAATCTAATAATTTTTCATTAGCTCGAGATATCGTATTGGTTTACATATTTAATAAAAACAAAAAATAATTCAACGTGAAAATAAATTTGTTTGTTTCATCATTCGAATAAATTCAGGACGATCAATACGTGCATCGCCATTACGATCAGCTGCTTGAAACATTATTTGTAAATCAAGTTCACTTAAATTCAAACCTGTTTGTTCATTTATTCGACGTAGAGTATTTATATCAATATAATCACAACCTTCTTTAAACGCAAAGGAAAAAGAATATTAAAAAAAAAAAAGTTAAAAATTTTACTCTCATACCAAGATCAAATAATTGAAAAGCTAAATATAGTTCATCATAATCATCTTGTTCTTCACTTTGAAAATTAGCAAGTAAAAGAAGAAATTCTCCAAAATCAAGTGTTCTTTAAATAATTAAATTCTTCATTTTTATTTTTTTTCTTAACAAAAGAAAATATTTATCTCTTACAAATTATCTCGACTTTCTTTTTCGATGTAAGCAACACATTGTTCAACCGTTAGATTAACACCTAATGTTCTCATTGCATAGACAATTTCTTTTGGTTTAAGATTTCTAATAGAAAGAAAGATATTTTGATTTATATAAAGATTGTTAATATTCAAACCCTCGTCGTTTATGATCAAAAAAATCGAATACTTCTTTAAGATCACGAATTTCTTGTGCAGTAAAATGCATATAAATCGCACGTGAAAGACGAACACCAGCAATATCTCGTTCATCTAATGGATTGTTTTCCAATGATGCCAATAACTATTGTCAGAATGAAATTATTTTATGGAAAAAATTCTTTTTTAGTTATAGCTTACTTGAGCTCCGATTGCTGGATGTGGTGGTACCCAATCGATACGTTGACCAGATGGTGTACGTTTATTCTTTGCATCAGCTGATGGAGTTTTAGATTTTGATCGTCTCATTTCTTTTTATCTGAAAAATTGATTTTTATTTAGACATAGAAAAGATAATTTTTCATAAGAAATTTGTATTGTTTTACTCAATTAAACGAATTGATCGTAAATTTCAATATAATTTCTTTTTATAATCAACCTGCTAAATTTTTTCTACTAAATTAATATTTAGAAATAGGAAAATAAGATTGATGAATTTGTGAAAATGATTCTACATTAATCCGTTCAATGGATATTAAAAAAAAATCAGAGAATGCTATTTTTTTGGGAATGTGGAAATATCTTAATCATGGAAAAATTCTTGTTGTTTTCAATGGAATTTTAATTGAAGTTATTTACTTTGTTTTATATAAATATGTTGTTTGTACAATACAAATACGACTCTCTCTCTCTCTGATTGACCTGAATAAAAAATATTTTATGATTTATTAGCTAAAAGTAACTATTTATCAATGTTAATGGTTTATCATATATTATTTACTTCAAAGTAACGGTTTTACATCTCTCTGTATGTATGTATTTTTATTGAACTTATCAAATAAACAATGCCATCATTAGGAAAACCAAATTATATATAATCAATTACACTTATCCATTCGACAACAAACATCGATGGCATACCATTTTTTTCTTACATGATCATTTTTTAATTGGTATTTCAATATCTAAAATAAAAATTATAAAAAATAAAACAGTGAGAAACAAATTTCATGATTCATTCACATATCTTGAAACCTCGAATAATATAGATTTTCTTTCAAAATGATAAATTTGTTTTTATTCATCTTCCCAACCTGAATGAATTGAAAGAATGTGTGATTTTTGTATTTCTCTTAGTATAAAAAGTTCTTTTAAAAAGTATGATCGATTATTATTTGTTTTCTTTTTCAGTAACTTAGGTGATTCTATCAACCAATAGGAAGACAAAGAACTAAAATGAAAAAAAGTGATTACTATTCAATTAAGAAAAATAATAACATATATATTTCTATAGATGATCAACACAAAAATTACCAATCTAATTTCGATAAGATACTTAATTAACACCTCACTAGCTATTGTCTACTGAAAGCAGATATATTTTGAACCTCAAAGAAGTATATTCTATTATTTTTCAATTCTATAATCAAAAGTCTATTTTAGTTAAATTCGGCCTGAATTTCATTGTTTGTTATTGTCTTAACAGAATACTTAGGGATTGAAAAATATTCTCTAAACACTGATTCACAAGAGATGAATTACATTTACGGAGAATAAATGTACTTCGAAATTATTTCAGCTGCATAACTCGATATTTTTTTAGAAAGAAATACTTTAACCAGATTATCATTGCTTCTAAAGCCTTTAATAACCTATCATCATTTAAAATTAATAGAGATTACATTTTCACAATTTTTAGATAGTTGAAATTTTGGTTTTTCTCGAAAATATGTAAGATTTATTTAATTAATGTCGATCAATACTAAAACATCCTCTACAATTCAACGAACTAAAATTTGTTAAAACTTATGTTAGATTTTGATTCATACTTTAGCCTCACTATAATCTCTGTTGTTAGACTTTAACTGGCAAAATTTTTGCTGTCAAGAATGCTATTAATTAATCTTTTTCACGTATGACGAAATGTTTATTTTTTGCTTTGTTTACTATCACTAAAATTTTAATGATAGATTTTAAAAAATCTCAAATATGCAATTAAGATCATTTTTCTAAATAAAATAAAACATCTCGATGAATGAATTGATGAAAACATGATAAGATAATATTGTAAAGAAAACTGATCAAAAAAGCTTTTTTTAAAATCTATAACAAAGGTTCTGTTTTTTTTTCTTCATTTAAACAAAGTAATTGAAATGATAGAAGTCAAGTATGAACAATGGTAAAAAAGGATCACTTGAATTTGTTACAACGAAGAAACAAAAAACTTCAACTCTACTCGAATTACTTAATTGATTGACATTAAGTGATAAGGTACAAAAGATCAAGTTCGTTAAGTTGAATGAGAAACAGTAACGAAGTTTCATTCTTTTCATCTGTTATGTTTCGTGAATGAATCAAACGAGAGTGAAAAAACCAAAACAAAATTTATTATTTATATTCCAGCTGTGAAACAAATCTTGCCAAAAATATTTTCTATTTAAACTATCAACAGTCATGGCACTCGGTCGGACAAAATCGGTAATGTACAATAGTTTTTGAATTAATTGATGTAGCATTGTAGAGAAGATGCATAGTTTGTAATGTGAATGGTTTTTTTGTTTTTCATTTATCTATCCAGTTGTTTTTTCCGTCTAAATAGAATGTTAACAGTGAATTATTTCTTCAACGATATAGTGAATTAAGTGATGAAATTCGTGCGAAAAATAAACGTGAAGATCGTCTTCTTGATATTCGTTTAAAATACTATGAACGTGAAAAAAATATTCGTTTAAATATTTTGCGTAAAGAGCAACATCAACTAGAACGTACACGTTCATTATTTATTGAACCATTGAATAGAATTTATCAAGAAAAACGAAAACCATTAATAGCATCATTTATTGCAGAGAAAGCAAAATTAGAATCTTCAATAGTGCAATTATCAACACCAGAATTATTTAATACAGATTGGGAACCAATTTCAAATTTAAAACAACCAGAATTAATACCATCGATTCCGACTGATAAATCAATTAAACCTAAAAATGTCATACGACCTCATTCAGCATGTTAATTACAAAACTTACTGAAAAAATAATTTGTACAAAAGAAAAAACAAAAAAAAAATTTCTTCTGGTTCTTTTCTTATGTATTTTTGACTAATGTTAATGCTAGTTGTTCTAAATAGTTTAATTTTGTTTCAAATCGATTTGCTACTTGTTCAACTTTTTCAATACGAGCACTTAAACTTAATTGTCGTTTCTGTTCATCGGATAAATATGATGCTGGTTTTGTCGTACCTAATACTAGATCTAAACGACGTTGTACATCATTTAACATAATTGATAAACGATTATTCATTTGTGTATTTTCTTTAACAACATCTTTTATATCAATGGGACGTTTTGCTTGTTGAAATTTTTTACAAGCAATCGAATATTTAAGTATACGAATGATTTTTATTGCTGTTATATAACGCTTTGGTAAATCATCGATACTCGTTACTGATTTTCGTCGAATATGATTTGATTTTACAGTTGTTGTCGTCGTCGTTGGATTTGTAAAATTAAGTCGTAATGATTTCATTTCAGAAGGTGTATAACTTGCCGATGCAATTGTCAATGATGGTTTACTATGCATTGTTGATGAAAGATCATGAACACGACGTTGAATTATTGTGTAAATTTTCCATGTTGCTACAAAACGATCACCATGACGAACGCATCGCAGACGCCACCAATTACGTATAACAGTAGCAGCAGCAGGTACAAGACGACTTAATGCTTCATCACGTTTTTGTTCTTGAACTTTTATAGCAAGACCCTTTGAGTTTAAAAAAAAAGTTTCTATATATGAAGAAGAAGAAAAAACAAGAAATATATACGTACACTTCCAATAATGCCTGTTGGTAAGCACCAAAATGCAACACCAAGAAGACAAATTGTTGTTGTTATCATTTTAGCAACATATGTTGTTGGATAAAGATCACCAAAACCAATTGTTGTCATCTATAGATAATATATAAATTTTCGAAATGGAGATAAAAACTGATTAGATCTCAATGTTTTTTTCAAAGGATTCTGGCATATTTATCTCTGTTTGACATATTCGAAAAGTTAGTCACAAATTTAGACTTCGTTTTAATTCAGGTAATAGAGAAATATTACAATTCCTATGCTTGATGAGATAAATCTTCTCTTAGTGAAGATTAATGATAAACAGCAAATTGTTTAAGATCTCCCTTCAATTTTCGTCTGGAAAAATCGAAATAGAAGATAACCCGAGGTCTGATATTTGATAAACAACATGATTTTTTATTTGGCACCACGCGTTTGGCAAAGTTTTCGATGATTTCCGTCAATATCTGCTGGAAAATTTAGTTGATTTTTTTTAAAGAATTTTTGAAGCACTTTCATTGTAATCAATAGCTTTTTGTTTTTTGTTTTGAAAAAGTATGTGAAGCCACAACAATCCCTTTTCAAATTAGACTTTTTTATTATAATACAAAAAAAGCACTTATATAAATACATGATCATTTTTTAGGCATTCAACTTGTCATCCTTTTTCTTCGCATAAAAAGTAAAATATTAAAAAAACAGAATTGTAGTCTGGCATGCTTTCTTAAATAAAACAATTAACTCTTTAGAATGAAGGTTCACAGAAGACAAATGAATTATCTTTTATTCTTGTTTGTTAAGTCTCTCCCGAAAACTTCATGACATAGGACTGAGAATTTTGACATAGCCTCTCTACTATATCTCCACCATATCATGAAAATTTCATGCAATTTGAATACATCTAACGCATTTTTTTCATAGAAATAATTATTTTCAGTACTCAACAAAAGACATTGACGGCAAAAAAGTGAAATTCATAAAAGTGTCTTCAATTTACAATGCGTAAGGAGAACTTTAACTTAACATTTTGTCGAAAAAATTTTTATTCTAAAAATTAATAAATGACATACTATCCAATGCAGTTTCGTTTTTCGTGTCAATTTTAGATACGCCTTTATTTTTCTCTTAAAATACTTCTGATACAAAAGAACGCTGAAAAATCTTTAACAAGCAAGATTTCTTCTTTATACTAATTGAGCTGACATGTTAGATAGAGAAAAACGTCTTGTGAAAGTTACATCAAGTTTGAAACTATACTAAAGTGTCCATACGGATAATATTGAATACATCGTTTTAGAAAATCTTTTGTTGAGAAAGCATGTACACTTTTTCAATAAGAAAACTGCTAGAACAAAAGTTTTCAGATAGAACGAATAGAACAAGAGTTCTAATTTAATAATCTACGCGATTTATTCCTTCGGTCTCTCTACTTCCTTTGAAGAAAAGTACTTTTCTCTGAGATAACAGAAAGTGAACCATTTTTTCGGTGACTAAAACATATTGGATACTCTTGAGATTGCAAAAAACATTACTTTCATTGTTTTACCACATACCCACGTTGTTACCCACTGCAGAAGTCTTAATAAAACTTAAGTATATCATGCTACAGTTTTATATATTTATTGTTATATTCGTCAATGCTTATAGCTTTTGTTTCCTTTTGATAATTAAAAGTCCAGGTTTTCTACTTAATATAGTTTTTGAATCTTTAGTTCTGTTTTTCAAACTCTCTTTATTCATTATTCAGTTGATTTATCATTCTGAATAGAACAAAGCAAGAAAAATATTTTGTTTTTATTCGTTTTACGATGCATTCGTCGAAGAACAGGCGACAGAGACATTCATATTCTATCTTCAATGACTATTTGACACATCCATAAAAATAATTTTTATAAGTCTATAAATTATGTTGATAGAATAATACGCAAATAGTTATCTTTCGAGATATTGTGATCATAAAAACATTCTATCAATAGATATTTGAGTTTAATGAAATGTACGATATAGAGTGCAAAAAAGAACTATTTCTGTGACGTCTTCACAAAAATTTTCTTCTTATCCATGATAAAACTATGCAAAAAATGCTTTCATACATTCCTCAACATTCATTTTTTTTATCTCAAAAACCGAATAGAAAAAAGTAACTCATCAAATATGTAAAAGAGGTCGTTCTACTTTCAAAATATACATTACCGTGATAATTGAAAACCACATTGTATCAGCTACTGATTTAAATCGTCCTGAACTTAAACTAGCATCCATAGGTGTTTCAGCAATATAAACAAGATAAGAACCAGTAATAAGAAACATGAATGCAATAACTAATGTAACAGTAAGTTCTTGACGATGCGCTATAATAATACCTTTTAAAATTCTCCATGATGTTAATTGTCTATCGACACGTAAAAATCGAATCATTTGTAAAGGTGGTAAAAATTTTAATGTTAATAATGGAAATTTGCCTATCTTTATACCTGTAGCTAATGCTAACATAAAACCAAATAAAGTTAATATATCAAGTACAATAACTGGTCGAGTTATAAACATTAAACGACCAACCCATGTTCGATATTTTGGAAGACAACCAGCTGACCATATACGTAATAATAATTCACAAGCAAAAAATATGCATAAACCTAATTCCCCATAATATAATTGTGTATTTAATGTTGATCGCCATTCATCAATAGTTGATATTGAACCAAATACAAGTGAAATAAGAGTTAAAGCAAATACAAATAGATGATATGCAAGTGTACGTGTACCTTCTTGTCTTTCAAGGATATGATATATATCGATTTTATGTAGAAATATTGCTGAAATCCATCGACAAGGTTTGTGACGATTATCTTCATCATGTGAATCGAATGTTGCTGAATAAAGTGATACAATTGATGCACGAGCATGAGATGAATTTAGACCATGTGACATAATACTTCGACGTCGAGTACTCATGTCTAGATATTAAATATTTTAATGTATGTAACTGTTTTTATTTATCGTTTTATAACCTTTATTTAGGACTTCATCGATTCGTAAATATTCTTTTCTCGTACTTTGAAAAAAAAGGAAAAAAGAAACAGCGAAACGGATACTGTTACGTGAGAAGAAAGAGAAATATATTGTATAATGATTTATGCTTTCTACTATCACTTTATCAGTTAATTTATTTAAATAATAATTGTTCCAATTTGAATTATAGAAATTACTAACGTGAATTGAATTATTCTATTTTTAACAATAGTTTCTTTTGTCTTAGTCATATAGTGACCTCTGTTTGTTAGCCATTGTTACACCTACAATCTCGAGGGCGTTGTCATGTAATCTATCATCAGATGAAACTTCTGATGGTTATTGTTCTTGACTCAAAAAATAAAAGAACATGTTTAAGTAACATTTTTTAGTATAAAATTCACATGCTTGAAAAAAGAGTTTAAATAAAAACAATTATCGAAAGTTTTCACTTGAAAATGTCCGATGGTAAAGCAAATTATTTGCGTATATTCATTATATATTATTACTATTATTATTTGAATTTTAGGAGTAGATACACATATACTAAGATACTATGAGATCCAGAAACGTCTTGGAAAAGGAGCTTATGGTATCGTATGGAAAGCTACTGATAAGCGAAGTAAAGAAGTAGTTGCTTTAAAAAAAATATTCGATGCATTTCGAAATCAAACTGATGCCCAAGTAAGATAAATAACAATTAACTAGATCAATAAATACATATGCTTATTTATTTTTAGAGAACATATCGTGAAATAGTTTTCTTACGTGAATTTGGTGAACATCCAAATGTTATACGATTACACAATGTTTTACGAGCAGATAATGATCGAGATATTTATCTTGTTTTTGAATTTATGGGTAAAAAACACATGCGAGTTTATTATAAGAATTTTTTAAATTTATTATTCAGAGGCTGATCTTCATAATGTTATACGAAAAGGAAATATTCTTAAAGAGACACATAAACGTTATGTTATGTATCAATTATTAAAAGCAATGAAATATCTTCATTCAGCCAATGTTATCCATCGTGATATGAAAGTAAAAAAGTCTCTTATAAAAAAATATTTGAGTGAGAAAATCTTTTTCTTTTAGCCATCAAATGTTTTAATCAATCAACAATGTCGAGTTAAAATTTGTGATTTTGGTCTAGCAAGATCATTAAATCATGTCTATGAAGATCCACAACATCCTGCATTGACGGAATATGTTGGTAAGTATATTCAAATAATAATTTAATGTATCATCTATTTTGTTTTATTTTTAGCAACAAGATGGTATCGTGCACCTGAAATTCTTCTTGCTTCATCAAAGTAAAGACAAAGCTTTTTTAAAGAAATTCGATTAAATAATATTTTCGTATGTTTAGATATACAAAAGGAGTTGATATGTGGTCGCTTGGTAAGTAGAAAAAAAGTCATTTTAGAAATAGACATGTATATAATTTTGTAGAGGACGATTTAAGCTATTATCTGAAAAAAAAAATACTTCGAAATGTTTAAATGTGGCACACTATTATGATCATTTTACAAGTTGTTGAGAAAAATTTATATTAGTTGTATACTCTTTACTTACAGAGATTTTGTCTTTGTTAGACTTATCATTTTAATGAAATATCGACGAGTCAAAACTTATGAGTTAGGTTTGGAATTTTGTACTCTTTTCGAATATGGACTTAGAAACTTCGTCTTAGCTTTTATTTGAGAATAGTGAAGTAATCTTTGAAAAATCAAAGAAATTAATTTGGAAGGAAAATTTTTGTATTTTCACTATTGTAATTCGAAACAAAACCTTAGTATCTTTATTTATATATAATAGCTTATAGGTCAGGCGCTACCTTACAAAATGTACTATTTGGAATTCTTTTTTCTCTTCCGACAAGATACCTTGATTTTCATTTTTTCTAAATACTTATTTTTAAAAAAGTTCACAATCGTTTTATGTTGAAAGAAGCTCTTAATGAAATGCTAGTAGGCTCATTTGAGTAAAAGCTACAGTTTAATTCAAAATCACATTATGTAGAGATGTTGGTTTACAAAGGTAGACACAACATTTCTAAGTGTATATTCGAACAGGGCACAAAATTATGGGCCGATTAGGAGGAAGCTTCCTCTCTTCCTAAAATGTCCTAATTTCTGGCAATTTTTTACAACTTCAAGGTAACTTTGGACAGCAGTCAGATACGTTGGGGAGATCCCAGAGAAGGATAGCTTAGTAGGAGATCTTCTGTTGTGAGAGAAGCCGAGTTACAGTCGATTCCGCTCTATACTGCTCTTTGTGGTCACCACCTCTAGCACTCTGAAAATGAAAGTACTTCATGCCGAATTATCAGCTCCTTCCGCGTGCAGAAAATACCGACAGTCTTGGAGCTGACTCATTCAGATGATAGCTCGAATTTTCCTATACAAAATTAAATATTTCGATCATCTAATCATGCATAGACTTATCATGGATATCATCGATTTACTGAAAAAGGTCAAAACTTTTTGACCATTCTTCATTAAAATATATTAATTCTGAAAAGTTTTTGTTTGTTTCATTTTCAGGTTGTATTCTTGGTGAAATGTTACTTGGAAAACCATTATTTCAAGGAACATCAACATTTAATCAATTAGAACGCATTCTTCAAAATATTCCAAAACCGACTCAATCGGATATAGAAAGTATTTCGTCACAATATGGACCAAGTGTACTAGAGCGTGCATCATCTGGGTAAATTTTTCCGTTCGAAAAATTTTTTTTTTCTTTTCCATGTATCAATTATCAATTGTAGACCAAAGAAATCATTTGATAATTTAATACCAGATGCTTCCAATGAATCACTTGATTTACTTCGTCGTCTTCTTCAATTTAATCCAGATAAAAGAATTACATCAGAAGAAGGACTTCGCCATAGTTTTGTTGCTTCGTATGTTTTTTATTTTTTATATTTATTTTCTTCAATTCATTTCTAATAATTAATAGATTTCAAAATCCAAAAGAAGAAATTGTTAAAGGTTATGATGTCGTTCCACAATTAAGTGATGATATACAATTAACTGTTGATGAATATCGAAAAAAATTATATGAAGTAAATATAATTTCAATAGAAAACTAAAATTTTTATTTTTTAATTTTTAATATAGCTAATTCAATTACGTAAAGTATCAGCTAAAATACCAACAAATACATCTTCAAATTCGAATAACACTACGGATGTTCAACCATCAAAACCACGTGAGAATTCAGTCGATCAACAACAACAGCAACAACGTTATGGTGCCAGTGCATATATAGATCAATCAGAATATGATTCTTATAAACAACCAACAATTATAACAAAACAAGATGAAGCTACTCGAGGAGCTTATTCAAATTATACACAAAAAAATACAAATGATTATGATAAAACTCGACAAGTTTATAATCAAGATAAGATTGATGATGATTATTCAAATGAACAACAACAGCAACAACAACAATATACAAAACCTTCATCAACAACATATCCTGGACTTCTTGGACGATCAAATACTAATAATGGTTTACAATCAACTCAAGGGCAACCAAGAGTAACAAGTACGAAACAACGAAATTCATCATCTGGTCCAAATTTATATCAAGTAATTTATAAATAGAAAAGTCTAAATTTTTATATCATATTATTATTTTGTGAAATACGATCTAAAGGCAGAGATGAAATATATAGGATAGATATTTGCATACCATCCACAGACCGTGCCAGATATTGTTGATATTCGAGCAAATGATCTTATATCAATAACATCTCGTAATAATATATGCTTACTTCCTTATTGCATTTCTGGAGGATTAAATAAAAGGATGGTGAAGAATATGGAGCGATCGAACTTTCACAAGCTACCACAAAGTAATATTAATACAGGATACATCTAAGAACTAAAGCGAATATTGTTGAATACATGTATCTTACAGTCTACACTTAGAATATGTTCGAGTATGAGCAAGTCACGTTTTTAATAAGAAAACAGTGAGATTAATATGAAAAAAGACAAATAAATCATAATCAAAAGTTCATTAGACGATTAGTCTGATTTGATAGATTCGCTGGCAATATTGTTCTTTCAGCAATCTGAGATCGTTATACAGCAGTCTAAATTAGGACAGACAGTAGTCGAACAGTTATTATTTGAACTGACAAATGAAATTTATGGTTACGACACAGATGAACATTTCTCAATACATAGAAAAAAAAACAACCTCCCTATGCTTAGCAAAAGTAGCTATGTTGTGTTTCACATTTTAGTCTTGTAAGAAATCCACTAACAGTTTTTCTTTTTTTTATTAAGAAAACAAATTATGGAAATTTAATGCGTGAAAAAACATCTACAGCTAGTCGAGGTTTACGTTCCGGGTCAGCTCCAACACCAACACCACCATCTAAACAAACCAATAATGGAAATAATAATTATTATATTCGTCGTCCAACTGTTGTATTTAATGATGAACGTATTGGTCCAAGTGATAAAAGTAGTGGTGCACAAGCAAGAGTGAATCAAAAATTTGTAACTTTTCATTTTTGTCTTTGTCTTTTTGATAATATTCTTTTATTAGATATCAAGTCTTCGACCTAATTCAGCTGTTGATATTCGACCTAAATCTCGTTTTCATTCGGCATCAACTGTTCAGCAAGTCAATTCTGGTACATCATCATCAGCATTTGGATCTTATTCTGGTCAACAACAACAACGTCGTCCAACATATGGAAATTATTCTAACATGACATCATCAATGATGGCACGAGAGAATCTTGGTGGTTATAATCAAAACATGGGTACAATTTCTCAAAATGGACTTCGTGTTCTTGATGGACTTCTTCATAATGCCACATAAAAAATTAGTTTGTTTTTTTGTTTTTCTTAGTGTTTACATTTCACCTATTTTCTTTTCTTATATAGGACCAAGAGTTATCTGTAATGTAAATGTCTTTGTTTTTTAAGAAAAGTAAATATGAAATAAAATGTCATTAATCTGTTTTTGTTTCTTCAATTGGAACATTTAAAATTTCTTTTTGATTCAACATTAACCATTTTCTATTAATTAAATCATATTTTGATACTGGAATAAATTGATCTTCTTCGTCTGGATTATCTGATTTCATTTTATCGGATATTATCAATATATTGTTATCAACAGCTACGATATTTAATTTTTTAAGATTAGGTATATCAGTTAAATAGGTCCATTGTTTTGTTGATTTATCATAACATAAAATCTCTGCTACAGGTATTAATTCACCAGATGATGATTTCGTATAACCACCACATGCAAAAAGTCCACCATCAGGTGGTATTATATCATTACCACATGTAACAAGTAATGTTCGCGCTCGTGGTGATATTGCTTGAGATTTATTATTAATATTAAATGTATTCTTTAGTTTTGTCCATCTAAATATATTTTTGTATGAAATAAAAAGAAGAAGAATTTTTTAAAATACTTTTTTGATGTTAAATCTTCAAGCTGTAAGAAATCATTACGAAATAAAGTATGACCAGAAAGTAGATCATATCCACCGAAAACATACAATGAATCTTTATCATCAAGTGTTACAGCAGGGCCTATGAATATAATGTACATATAAATACAAAAATAAAGAAAAGTAATCCAATGATGTTAAAAAATATTATTTGAAGCTAAATGACATACTCAATTTATTTAGTAAATTAGAAAAGACGAATTACTGATTATTCTATCGAACATTTTCTACAGACAGTGATAAATGAGTCATTTCAGGCGAAACGTGACATACCGAAATTTTATTTGACATTGATTCTGCACAAGAATTATTTTTTCTAAATAACTTCTTTTACCATAGATATATATATATAAATGTTGGCTCTTTCAGATGACTCTGAAGTAATTAATAAATAATTAGCGAATATCTTCCAAGCTATACAAGAAAACAATCTGAAAGCTTCACGATAAACTTTACGGCATGAACCGCATCTATGGAGAAATTTTCAGCAAGACCAAACTTCCAAAACCTTACACTTAAAAATCGATTTTCTAGATATTCTAAAGAAAGATTAGTATCCTTTAGAATTTATTTTGAGCTTCTCATTCTGTTATAAGAGCATTTTTTTCGTACTTCAACACATGACGAACGAAAAATCCAAACATGTTCAGAAACAACTTCGGATAGAAATTTTGTAGAATCATGAGTTCTCTACTGAATGTACTATATAGCTTTCAAAAATGTTGCCTCAATTCAGTTATTTTAAAACTAAAATTCATCGAGTGAAATCCGATATTTTTTTCTATCTCATTCAGTTACTGTTACTTTTTTCCGAATAACTCTTCTGCGCGAAGCTTTCTAGCGTTAGTCTTTCCAAGATATCTAGAGCAACTTAACATACATATAACATAAAAATTAGCTACAGGAAAATTCATTATCTTGTAATGAGTTGCAGAAATTTTGGTCATAGGTTAAATAGACCTAATTAAACCCCATAAAAAAGTTTTACTTTCTTAATTAGTTTCTACATTTCGTAGTGCTAAAAAAGATGACACAGTGATTAGGATGTGAGTCTTCTGCTCATCCGCAGTCACAATCAAACAGCATACACCCACAGTCGAAGCATTTTCATCCACACTTGAAAGCTTGAATAATGTATTACTATTGCAGTGTACTTCTGACACTCTTGGTGACGTAAGATTATTATTAATTTCATATGATTAGCTTCTACTCATAGAAAAAGTTATCCAGAAGCAAACAATCTGGAAAACTAACGAACTGTGCCTAGAGGAAATTTCAATGTTAAACACTAATTCTTTTTGCGCATCACTGATTTATCTATACAACATGTGTTCTTCTCACCACATAATGGACTTGGTAAAGATGGTAACATTTCCCATTGATCATCATTTTGTCCATATACATAGCAAGTTTCTGTTGGTCTAAAAATCATATATATATATTTCTAACTATTTATTTCATAATTTATTACATGTTTATTATTGTGTTTCCTCCAATAACAATCATTTTTCCTATTAAAATATAATATTAATCAAATTAAAAAAGAAATCAATATCTATTTCCACCATTATTAGCTGCAATACCAAAATTAATACGTCCGTGACCTGGTAAAGGAGGAATTTTTTCTAATTTTTTTTCTTCAATATCCCATTTCCAATCATTCGATGGTGCTCGACGTTCTTTTCGAATTGGATCAAATAGATAACCTCCTATGAAATCAAATTTCACATATGGTTAAAAACTTCCTAAACTTCAATAGTCATACCAACAATATACACAACATTCGGCATATTAACATAATAAGCACGTTTTCTCAATTCCAGACCACGTAATATATCTGCTAGTTGCATATTAATTTTATCTAATTCAGCATCCACTTAAAAAAGCAAATGAATTTTAATTTCTTAATAAATATTTATTTCGTATATTTTTTACATTTATCATTATCGGATGATGCAATAGCATTAATTAATGTAAAATCTTCAATATTTTCTTGTCGTGCATCCTTTAGAAAACCATACTATTCAAAAATATAATCAATAGTCACGTACTTTAAATCAATTAAAAACTATATACTTGATCTCGAAATGCAAATTTATCAAGAAATAATGTCGCACAATGGGGACTTATACCATTATATCGTTTTAGATATGCCATTAAATAAATAATAAATAAATAAATATAAACACGCGCTCAAAGAATTATTATTTTCAAAGAAAAAGAAAGATACATAATATAACAATTTGATTTGTTTTTTTTTTTGTTTTTTAAATTTCAACGGAGCACTCAGAAAACAGAAAATCTACTAACATCGTATTCGTTAACACCAAAAGTATATGGAATGTTGGAAAAAACAAGACAGGCACATTCGTGAATATATGACTAGTGTGAAATTTCATTCGAATAAATAATCAATGAAAATTTTCTGCACTCGTCAATCGGCCACGAGATGGAGGAATAAAATGTTGTTTATTTTGTTGCTGATGATCAATAGAATATATATTTCTTAATGTTCGATTTGTTTGTTGCTGTTGAAGAGGATAAGATGGTGAAACATTGTTTAAAACAGACATTGATGATGCACGCTTAATAATTGGATCTTGTTGTTGAAATTGCATTGAATTAAATGATGGAAGATTTGATGGTGTACCACGAAGTTTTTGTACAAGTTTTTCTGAACCACGTCGAATACTTTGACGTAATTTTTGAAATGAACCACTACGACGTAATTTTCCGTATTCTGGTTGAATGGGTGCTTGTGAACGCCGTATTGTTTCATGATTAATATCATCATTTAGTCGAATTTGTTTTAATGTATCTAATGCACGATTCATAATTTCAGATTGATTCTGTACAGATTTTGTTGCAAATGATTCAAATAAATCAGCTTGTTCATAGAGATTTAATCGACGGCATAGAGCTCCTAACATTTAGAAAAGCATCAAATCGTTATAAAACAAAAGAAATAAAAAAGAAAAAAAAATATTACCGAGATTTTTTAATGTTGTCATAATTGTCGTTGTATCACGATTAGAATTTAATGATTGACACTGTTCATTTGATATCAATTGAGATTCAGTTAAAATTTCTTCATACAATTGTACAGCTAATTTATATTTCCCTTCACGTAAATATGCTGATGCAAGGTTATTTTTTGTTTTTGATACATTTGAATCATGTTTACCATAGTTTTTTGTATAAATTTCAATAGCACGTTTATAATATTCTTCAACTTTATCATATTTACTTTGATTAAGGCATAATAATGCTAAATTATTTAATTGTTTTCCAACATCTGGATGATTCATACCAAAATATTTTTCTCGAATTTCTAATGCACGTTTACATAGTGGTTCTAAATTAATTACACAAAATTTTCGGACCCGGTTCAACTGCACTTTAATACTTTCCATTAAATTTTATAATTGGAACTAGATAGCCACCCCGAATATATGAGATCATTTCTTTTTTCGGTTTTTTTTCTTTTCGCTGACTAGCGTACCTTACACGTTTTTCAGATGACTAGACATCATCGAGTCTGTGTCCGTAAAGAGCTCGAGGAATTTTAATGACAAGTAGAGTATTATAATCAGAATTTTGTGTTCTTTCAGAATATATCTTTTGAATTTTTCTATGCCTTTTGACTATTGAACTATAAGTAAATCTTGAAAAGACACAAAAAATCTTTTTCGCGGTAAAAATCTCGAATAGAACTTGTTCGAGACATTTCACAAAGTTCTATTGAATATATTCGAAGATACAGAAGATAATTCCTTACATAGTGGTATATTTGAATAAAAATTTTTGAAAAATTTGGAAGTGTAGTAGAGACTTTTGTAAAGTCTGTCGTAAGAAAAATAACTATTTTTCTGATTTTCGCTTCTTTAACATACCAATGACGTTCCGTCACAGCTCTGCCATGTTTTATTAGATTAACCAAAATTCTCCATTCTTGTATCATTTTGTAGAGTTGAGATAACCTCAGAATCCGGCTCTAACAGAAAGCAGCTTTGCCTTCAGAAGAATAAGATTTTTACTTCTTGGGAGAATTCTTTTAAGTTCTGTCAAAAGTCACAGACAACTAGATGGCATCTCGACTTTGTCGAAAATGTGAAATAAGATGCAAAGCACGAATATCGACTATGTGAAATAATCGAGTTTCTGAAAACAATGAAAAATCGATTGTGGAATCAAACTCGAATGGTGTCTGTCTTGAAGTTATCTTTGTTCCAGCGAAAGCAGAGGTTTCTCTCGATCGTTATAACTGGAAAAAGCTGCGTTACTATCAATCAACTGCTGAAAATCGGACACAAGCTGGAAACTAGACTGCCATTCAGCGCTATGCTCTGGATGGAATGTTGGTTGACTGCAAGCTCAATATTTATTTCCTTTAAGTTGATAGTTCATTGCTTGGTAGCCATTCGAAAACTTTTCTCTGACGTTCGATTGAATCATGCATACCCATATAAGAAAACTATCAGCTGTTAATTATTGATTTTCGGCATTCATATAGTTCGCGAACGCTGCCAAATTTCGAAAAACGGATTTCGGATGTGAACTCGTCACGTTCTCAGGATCTCGCCAAACTTTTTTTTCGGCTGAAAATAATAATCAGGAGCTGAGAACGAGTGACTGACTTGAATGGTAACTCATGTGTTGAGAAGAAGAAGAAGAAGAACAAGAAGAATTTGCCATGGCAACTAAGCGAGGGAAAAGCGATAAGTCGGCTCTGTCTGCACTTCGTGCAGTCAGCCGACTTAAATAGCTATTGTAGAATTCATCACTGAGAGAACTCTATGAAAGGCTGTCAACATTCTTCTAAAGAACATTATCGATTGATCGTTTAATTATCAATATGATTCATTATCTGTCATCAGCTGCACATACAGCTGTTTCATATATGAGCAAAGAGAGTGGCGCCTAACTTTTGTTTTAATTATCTCGAAGCTTGAAAAAAAATTAAAGCTCTGAAAAATTTGTCTTTTTTGGACGTTATTTATATGCAAACGGGACATCATAACGAAAATTGAAAAAGGAGCTTTCGGTTCGATCTCGGTCATGTCGCTTTATGCTTGAACGAAGATTTTCTGACTTTCGGTTTTGAAGATCACTGCGACACAAAATGTCAAATAAATGTGCGTAGGTCTAGCTAGAAATAAATAAATAAAACTCACGACGAATCACTATATAAGTGCTTCGTACCTTAAAAATTTTAAGAATATATTTTGAAAGAATACCAAGTTCTAATTCTCAAACACTGTGCATGCATTTAAATACATGATCAAATTTTGTCTAGAAAATTGCAGTTGAGGCTTTACCTGCTTCTTTATATCGATTCTTTTTTCCATAGAGTACAGCTAAATTATTTAATGTTGCAGCAACAGCTGGATGTTCATGTCCAAGTGTTTTTTCTCGTATTGTTAAAGCTTCAGTTAATAATTGTAATGCTTCTTTAAATTTATTTTGATCACGATAAACTAATGCAAGTATATTAAGCATTGTTGCAACATCTGGATGTGTATGACCATGAGTTTTTTCAAGATCTTCAAGTGCTTGTCGACATAATGGTACAGCAACTTCATATCGACCAGCTTGTGCATATTGAATAACAAGATTATGTAAAGTACGAAAACGTGGTGGAATTTCAGAATGATTTTTCGTTTCTGAATTTGAATTAATTTGTATTTGTTCTTTTGTTTCAATAGGTATATCTGTATTAATATCAATTGAATTTGTTAATTCGAAATTATCTGATGTTGATGGTGATGATATTAATGATTCATTTAATAGATCAATATCACGTTCATAATCTTGTCGTATTTGTGTACTTGTTTGTAAATTTTTTTCAGTTAATGAAAGTTCATCACGTAACCAACTATTCTCTTGTGTTAATCTTTGAACCTGTAGCGTTAATTTATGTATTTCACTATCAAGATTTTCTAAATGATTATCAAGTTCTAACATAACAAATGCTTCATCAATACCTAAATCAATCGATTCAAGTGATTGATGAAGACGTTGACATTTATCTTCATCAATTGTTGATGAAAGTAATAAATTATATTCATGTCGTAATGATTCCAGATCAGATAGAACTAATCGAGTTGAATGAGTTAAATCAGGAGTTATAAATGTTGTACTCATCTAAAAGATTTCAATATGAAATCAAAGATAAATGTGTCTCTTTTGCATTTTATATAGTTTAGTTGAACTATATAATTAAACGTACATGTAACATTCAATCGTACAATATGTGTTTCGTCATCTACTACCAAACTTTCGAGACAAGAGAGACAGACAGACAGAGAAAAAAAAAGAAAGGTTAAAACGGTGATGAAGTTTATGTTTTTGCATTCTATTTTTCTTTCGATATATTGTTTAGTTATAATTGAATGAATGTAAGATTTGACCGGATTATTCAACAATGAATCTGAATTTAATTCATCTTACCATATTTTTATAAACTGTTCAATGGAACAGATTTAATTGTTTATTGTCTGGTTGCTACTAGATATATACGCATTCAAGTATTTTTTTTTCTTCTCTTTCTATTACCATCACCTCCATGAATGATCGAATGCTATATGCATGTCAGCTGTTACACAGAAGAAATCAAATCATAATTTTAAATCAGTATGAACAACGAAAAAAATGAAAATAAAGATTAACATCTTATATACATATACATGAATTGTGTGTTTAACTACTCACTAGTTCATTATAAAATCATTTAGATGTGAAGAAAAAAAAGCAGAATGAAAATGTGTTGGTTGTGTAGTAAGAATAGTAAACGAGGATGGCTCGACGACATATTAAGAAGAGAAAAAAAAAGTCGAGAATGAAAGGTACGTATTTTTCTCTCCCTCCCTCTCTCTGCTTACATTTGCCTCGTCGATGTTCAACATCGGCACGAGGTCACAGAGCCATAAGTCAACATTGAACAGCACATAGCACTGGCCATCATCAACTGTTCTCTTCATTTTTTCTTCTTTCGTTGATCGTTCCGAATATAGAGAGAAAGAATGATGATTGAGCCCAAGGTCATCAGTTAATCTACGTGTATTTTTATTTTATTTATGCTTTAATCATCGACTTTTAACGACTTTGTTGATAGAAGCTAAGCGTGCCTATTGATAGTTTATTTATATCTAGACATA